CCACATGTACCTTAAAATGGGATAATATGTGTCAACACTCAAATGTATATGATAGTATGCTGCAAATATGATCTCCAAAACAACACTAGGTAAATTAAGAAGATACCTGATCCTAAGACTAGCAAATTCTGAGGCCTATGTCTGGTCAAAACAACCTACCAGCACCACCAAAAAGGTCCATTTTCATAGACCAGAGGCCTGGAGTAAGGTCCGGGTGCTAAGTTGATACAATGAGTTATGGACGCTATTTTTTCAAAGAGAAAGTAGCATTGTTACACACTTTAAAGGCTATTAAATATCTTAATAGCACTTTTAAGAACTGCTCAGTTACATATTTGTTAAGAGCCTTCAGATAGCATTACAAACAATTAAAGAAAATGGTTTATCTACAGTACAAAGAACACTCCACCAGATACAGGCTTCATGGCTCCAGACACGTGCACGCAGCGTGTCAGAGTGCAATTCCACCATTTCTGCAAGGAACAAAAGCAAGCTGCCACCCAAAGGGACGGCTGTGCTGCCTGTCTTTCACACACTGGTCTCCTCTCTGTTTAAGGTAACGCATTCAGTAAAATCAGTCTTGCACAACTACGTGAGTGCTTACACTGGCACAAAGAAGACACCAAAAACAAGCCAGCAATGGAGGGCAAGACTCTCGGCTGTAAGCCTGCACTTAGACCGACCCCACGTGCTCCTAGGAGAGAGGATGACTTCTCTTGCAGCAGCACTGGCTCTTATGTTGCCATGCCGCAAGCTGTTCTGGGAAGCAAACCAGGTAATAGTTACCCATTTCTCGCAGGTGACTGATTGGTTTTCAACTAAACCTGGAACTGAAACAGGCCTGTTTCACATTCACGTTGGTGCCAGCTTCACTGCCAGTGATAACACCGCTGTTATCACAGTAGCGTTATCGCTGGCATCCTGCTCGAAGACTCTCTTCAGGTGCTGCAGAACCGTGCCCTCAGCGCACGCCAGCTAGCTCAGCACTACATCTTCTGCTACTTCTTTACTTCTTTTCTAGCAGTGATGTGTCAACAGCAACTTATCGTGTCGTTTAGAAATAAAGCTATCTGACTTCATATCACTACCGACATCACATCATGGCATAAAGCAACATGTACTGAGATTTACAAACCAACTTATAAACCTAATTATTTCAGTTATCAACCCCTTACAAAAAGTAGAAAACACAGAACCTTTTCTCATAACAGATCTGTGATACAGAGTCAAAGAACAAGATAAGCCTTTAAATACCCCTACATTTCTAGGCTAAACATCCAGCGATTTTTACATAAATGAATTTATTTTCAGGCTTTCCCTCCTCTAATTTAACACCAAGTTGCTTTAAAATACTCCTCCTCTAGTCAAAACCTTTTCAATCTTTTGACAATCTGCACATTAGAAAAACTTAACATACAATTTTCCTTCATATATATTTTTCCTTTGACATATTTCAGCTGAACATGTGTTTGAGAATAACTCTTAAAAAGCATGACATTGTAAATGCTCCTCCTTGACAGCACTCAAAATACAAACACTGGAAAGCCACTTCAGTCTTTCAAAGACTAAATGAATTTTTGCTCTGTTTAGCTCTATCCGTGAGAAATGTAGGAAGGAATATCAAAATATGAATTGATAGATTTTTATACCACAGACACCAAAGTTCAAAGAATTACTGTTTCATGTTAAAGGAGCTGATAACTACTTCTCTAAGCAACAGAAGCTACTGTAACACACTGCTTTTCGTGTCTCAGGAAGGTCACCGATTGTTATAAGAAAAGAAACAAACAACTGTTTCTAGGTAAAGCAAACAAAAAATGAAATGGTTGACAACAACTGTCAGGAGGTGCATTTGCTGTTCTAGATCAATTTCCCTGCAGAAATATGTATACAGTATTTCTTTAATGCATTTCCTGATGCAAAAAGACAAATACAATTGTCACCACTCAAATATTTTACTTCCCTACTGAAAGCACAGCCCATCTCAGCTTCTGTGCTCAGCTCTCAGCACTATGCTTCTACAAAGAGAAACAAGTCAAAATCAGAAACGCACCATTTGGTTAACTGTAATTATCTAGCACTTTATCAGATTAAAGTACTGTATTAGTAACCAAATCTCTCATTACTCCTGTAATAGCATAAAGAATCACCATTTTATAGATTAACTCAAACCGGAATATACTTAAAATAGTTGTCCAGGGCTTTACAGAAACACAGCAGGCTCTCTGGCCTAGAACATGTGCGTTACGTGTGTGTGTGTGTATCTATAAGAAGTGTGGCATAAAACTAGAGAGTATTAATGGAAGCATTAATGACAGGTTTTGTCTTTACCGAGCATAGCTCACGTCTGAACACTGTAGCACGGTAGCAAATAACCTCAAGTCAATGACTTGGAAAGATCTGTTACAAACAGTTGGGAACTAAGAGGAAAAACTCAGGTAAACCTGCAATACCAAGTCACAGTGACCAGTATTTGTCTCTCTCTCTCTCTCTCTCTCTCTCTCTCTCTCCCCATTTTTAGTCCACCACGTGATATCATACACAGAGAACACAGACCCAAATTGCATTTCTGTCCTGACACTGTTTAAGATGTTAACAGTACGTGCACTTTGAAACAGTGTAAATTGCCTGTAAGTTTTCTTATTAATGCAAAACATTTTATTAAAGGTAAAAATGTCTTTACTTGCAGTGTATTTCTGCTAGTGCTAAAAGGGATACCTCCTACTATTTCTTTATCCCCACAAATATTTTTCACTTTTCTTAATGCCATTTTTCCTTAAAAACAAAAAATAGCCAGTAACATGATGTCCTGCATATACAATGTTCATGTTTAATACAGCAAACTTCAGAGAAGAAATCCTGAACTGTGGGCCTTAACAGATGGCTGAGATGACTAGCGCTTGCTGGTGCCCTCACAGGGTACTTCACTGCCACTGGAGCACTTAACCAGGGATTCAGGGAACTCTGCAGTCAACAGCTGGAAACACCATTTTTACCTCAGCTGTTCGCAGGCTGGGAACGTGCACCACAACTGCATAACCGAGTTCCTTATGTGTGTCCAGGGTTTCAGATACTGTTGATTTACCTTGATCCTTCTGGTTCAGGTTAGCTCCCAAAAATGAGACAACCACTAAAGCAAAACACCCAAGGATAACATATTTGGCACAACTTAGTCCAGCTTCTAAAGCTAACAGTTAGAAGTGCAGAAACAATGTTACAAGCAGAAAAATAAAACAAAGCTCTTTTAATTTACAATTAAGAACGCCACATTTCTCTTAAGAGTTGTAAGGATAGTCTTCCAAGATGTGAATACCAGAGCTCGTGAAACTGTCCCACTCGATTTCTTTGAGTGTTCAGACCAGGACGAGTTGCTTCTGATACAAACTCACCCATGCTCCCCTCTCTTGTGCATTACAAGCAGGTGTCTTTGATATCCGACTAGTAATACTTTCTCAGTTTGCACTAAGCAGACAACAGCAATAATGCTCGTGCTTCAGTACAGAAAGCACTTCAGCTATCTAAAATATTTACTTTCCTTAGTTCACACCTAGTTAGCTGGAGCCACTGGATTTCTGAGCTAACTCCTCTAGTACAGTCCAACACTACAGTATTAGAACCCTACCAACACAACCGATAAATTAATGGACACTGTACTCTGTGCATGCTTTCAGGATGAAAACACTCATCATCTCATCAGTATTAGCATTCTTAGGTCACAACAGGCTCCTAGAAGTATACTAGCGAAAGCCTTGTGCTTTCCTGCACTTCTCACTACTGTGAAAAGTGTTGAAGGCAATTACAAATGTGAGTTTCCACTGCAGTTTGTGTAATTATTGTTTCTAGAACTCAGTTTCAACATCAGTGTTGCAGCATAGAACAAGTGATAAAACCTGATCCGATCCAATTTCTTCTTTAGGTACACTCCCCGAAGTTGTTTTCTGCAGCAGAGACCTAGCCCAGAGGTCTGAATTTCACCCTAATATCAGCCTCAGCGTTGGAGCACCTGTACTCCAGTACCCCAAATCTTGAAGACCAGCTGGAAGATCTCAGGGCTGAGAAGAGCCCCTTCCCTTTTTCCTCCCCCTCTGGAATGCACCGTGCTCGCCTCAGAGCTTAGGAGGGAGATAAAGAGACAACTGAAACCACGCTCCTGCATGTGGAACGTCCCGTGTCCTTCATGACCTAGTCCAATTAGCTACGAGCCTCCTAATATCCACTCATCTGCCACCTTAAACAAATTAACTCACTTTATCTATTTATTTAGCGCATAAGTAAACGGCTCGTTACAGAGGGACGGCAGCGTTCACCGAGACTGCTTGAAGCAGAGCCGGAGCGCACCGCAGGAACACGGCGCAGCTTCACGAGCAAAACGTGCGGCGGCAATAGGCGAAAGGGCCGCGAGCGCAGCGCTGGAGCAGTCCCTGAGCTCCCCTCCCCGCCGCGCTGCCCAACAAACGCTATTGTTTCCCAGCCGGGGGTAACCCGGGGGGGCGCAGGGGCCGGAGCCGCGGCCCCCCCGCCGTTAAGCTGGGCGGGCGGCACGGCCCCGCCGGGCTGGAGCCTTGGCGGCGCGGCCGGGCCCGGTTCCTCCCGCGGCCGCTTCCCGCAGCGCCTGGGCCGGGCGCGCAGGCCCCGGGCCGCCCCCCGGCCCCCGCTGACCTTGGCCGCGCCGCTCCGCTCGCACAAAGCGCGGCCGGGCCGGGCCGGGCCCACAAAGGGGCAGCCCCGGGCGCGCAGGCCCGGGCCCGGCCTCCGCCCGCCGCACAATGGCCTCGCTCCCTCCGTCCCTCCCCGTCCCCGCAGGCCCGGCCGGGCGGCAGCAGCAGCAGCGGCAGGGCCCCGCCGCCCGCCCGGGCTGCGCTTAGGCCGCGCCGGGGCCTCGGCCCTGAGGCTCCCCCGCGCCGGGGCCTCGCGCGGGCAGCGGCCTGCGGGGCCTGCGGGGCCTCCCCGCGCCTCCCCGCGCCTCCCCTCCCCTCCCGCCGCCGCCGCGGGCCGCTCACCTGCGGGCGCCGGGCTGGGCGGGACCCCGCTGCGGCGGCCTGGCTCCGCGGATGGCGACGGGGCTGCGCGGCTCTCGCCCAGACGCTGGTGCCCGGCCCGAGCCCGCGGCGCGCTCCCAGCCGCCCGACGAGACACCGCCACGGGGGCGCGCCAGCTGCGGCGGAGCTCGGCTGCCTCCCTGCCTGCTGCTGCCAGGCGCGCTCCCGAGGCGGGCGGGCGGAGGCGCGCGCCCGGCGGCGTCCCCGTTCTTCCCCCCCCCTTCCCCTGCCCCCGCCCCCGCCGCCCCGCGCACGCGCACCCGGCGGCGCCGCGCGGCCCGGGCTCGCCCCGCTGCCGGCACGGGGCCGGCGGCGCCGGGGGAACAAAGGCCGCGGCCCCCCTGAGGCACCGGGCCCGCGGAGCGATCCGGGGCAGCCCAAGTCAGCGCAGGCACCAGGCCCCGGGCTCGGCTCCGGCGGCTGTTCTGCCAGAGGAGAGCCCGCGGTTATCGCATTTTCAAAACAATATTTATTTATTTATTTATTTTCTCCTGAGTGACCAAGCACTTTCTTGGTTGGCTGAATTGGGCACCCAGCGGGTTCTCCGTACCCTGCTCACAGCTTTTAGGGACCAGGCAGCACGGCTTTTTGTGTACCGTCCCTACGTCACCCTGCCCCTTCTGCTCTGACTCGGAGGTTTTTAGGACCAGCTTTAAAGCCGCCTCTCAGCAGTGCATCGCTGTAGTGCTGCGGCACAACGTGCATCGAGCCCCCTTTGAGATCCTTCCCAAGCGTGCTACTACCGATTGCCAAAGAACAACAGCTACAGAAGTAAAACTTATCTGCACCTGCTTTCTTCCTGCACATCTCGAAGCTGTGCGGTGTGCTGCCTGAGCCTTCTCCTCAAGCCTTCACGAGGAGGCACGCACATAGCAACAACTGCTAACCATGGGGTTGACTTAGTGAAGGAAATACATCACGATGAAGTATTAGTTTTGTTGAGTAAGGACACGTGCCCAAAGGAACACATTATCCATAGTAGAGGCTTTTTTTCCAACTTTGATTTCAGTGCAGAATAAGGCCAGTCATTTGATGTATTTTTAAACATACAGAAGTCTATTCAGTACTGGAAACTTCAACAAAGGTAGTTCCTCATAGACAAAGAGGGGAAAAAAAAGCTTCCCTAGCAGTGGCAATTACTGTTTTTAGACAGGAGAACCAGAATGCTTATCATTTCCAGCAGTCTGGGTGGTTTATTACAAAGTATATCTGTGGTTGAGGCTTTAATCCTGCAAACATGCACTAACATTTTGCTTTAAAAAAAAAAAAAAAAAGTCTCACAGTCCTGTATCAGATCGATGCCTTGCTGTTTTATAAGCATTATTAAACATTTGCCTTTCACTGAATAGAAATTACTTCCTTGAGCAGTGAAACTAATTAAGCCCAGTTTCTATGGGACTTTTATCCTACCTCTTTCCTCACCACAATATCCTCCCACTTTGCTCCTGTGTTCTTGCTGCTGAAACGCCTCCAGCTTCCCCACGTCTGCACCCTTCTCAGTGCCCGGCTCGCTCATGCCCGTAACTAACAGCTGCCCCAGAGGGAGCCACCCAATGCAGCTGTGCGCATGCACCCACTGGTCCGTCACCCAGCTCACCTCTGTGCATCTCTGCAGCAGGCAGACCAAGGAGTTCACATTCCCCTCCTCTCAAGAGGACCCTGTATTTCAGCCTAGATTCACTATATTTTAACATTTCTCAAGAAAGGCAAAAGTTGAGGCTTGTTCCTCTCAAACTGAGGTGAAATTAGCCCACAGGTTCAAAAGTCAGCAGTGAGGGCTTAATAGAATAGACCCTATAGCAAGATTTCATGGGCCCCATTACAGTAGGAAATCAGGGTAAAAAATGTCCGAAAGGCATGTTAAAAGGTCATATAATCCATCTTCCTGCTGCAAGGTAGAATCAACTGTGCCTTCTTTATTCCTGACAAATGTTTGTCTCAGCAGCTCATTAAAAAAAAATAAAAAAATAAAAAAACACCCTCCTGTAGTAGAAATTTCAAAATGTGCCTTCTAAAGCCTGTTCTGTAGTGTTTATCTTCCTTACCATTGTTTCTCCCCACATATAACCTGAGTCTCCCATTTTAACTCCAGCCCATTCATAGAATGCTTCAGTGAACACAAAGAGTTTTTCCTCTTCTCTATTTTTGAAGACTCTAATCTTCAGTAAATTACATCAGTTCCCTTCCATCCATAGGTCACCACTGCAAGGCCTCTGATTATTCTTGTCTTTTTTTCCCTGCAACGGTTCCTTTTATTCTTTTTTTGACTATCGTTCTGGGAACTGGACACAGCACTCCCACTGAGGCCCTTTTAAATGCTGAGTAATAAAGGCTGACTCTGTGGAGATGCTGCTAAATTAGCAGTATCAGTCAATGTTATAATTGCAAATTGAGGTTGGTCTTTTTAACATCAAGTTTTAATAATTATTAATCTAATGAGAATTTCTGTATGCATTGTTTAGTAAGAAAATAATTTATTGTCACCATGGAAGTGTAAGATACCACTGCTTGATAGAGTTATATACATGTAGACCTGTAGTCTAACGGGATTACCATGTTTCCTTACTGGACAAAAGCACCCATAAGTCTTAAGTTTCATACTAAGATGTAATAAAGTGTTTTTTCTCTAAAATTTAGACAATATTATTTCTTAAAATATTATTTTGTATTTATTAAAATGGATAAACTGATTCACACTTCGTTGCTTTAATATTTTTGAAATTCATGTATATTATTTAATACACATGAGATTTTAAGTGGCATTTAAGTTATTAGTTCTGTGTTTATGTAAAACTCATTCTTTATTTCGAGACTGAAGATGGTATTACCAGCTCTATTCTCTAGATAACAGTGTATTAGCAACACATGGCAGCATTCTCTTGAGCTTTAGAAATACGATTGCTAATGGTTGCTGAACTGGATACTCAGATTTTGTGTCTATATCCGGTTTCTTGGGCAGAAGCACTGCTTCTGAGCATTCGTAGTAACACTTGATCCTGGTAGCTAAGTGCCTAAGTCCTAAGCAAAGCACCCAAAAATAAACTATTTTGTAAGCTTGCATGTAATATCACTGAAGCCAGCAAAAATACACATGCTTAAGTGAACTTTCTCCTTACAGCACTTTAGAGTGTCTAAAAGTAATTGAAGAATTGATTTTCGCCCAGTTTTGTATATCTGATTTTTAGTACTTTTTTTTTTTTGCATTGAAATTAGAACATTCAGCCATTAAGAAAAATGAGTACATAGGTCCAACAAAACACAATCATTTTGAGACTTGAGTAAGAGAAGTACCTGGACGTAACATTGTATACTTCTTACAAATTTGTGACTACACAAATTACAAAAGGAGAGCTAAGATAATCATTCCTAAAAGTACTAAATATAGCATGATTTTACAAGAAAAAATACTGTCCTTCATATGGAAAGTGATACATGCTATTTACAAAAATAAAAATATTTTTATCCTTTTTGTCTAAACAACTAATATCTTCTTCTTACAGCTTAGCACATTAGATGCATTAGTTGGGATTTCTGCAGTCCACAATTGCCCAGTATCACAGAAACAAAAAATGACAAACTTTCAAAGTTTGTCTCAAACATTCAGTAGGGCTCTTAAAGACAGTAATACTGATTAAGATGGAAGACCAGTTATTGATCTCTGCTATCTCCCCTCCCCCCTCATCTATATTCTTCATTTCACAGGCTTCAAAACACCTACAGGTCCCAACCATTTGTTTGGGAACTTTCTGATGGCAAACAAACTCAATTAAGTGGAAGAATAGCACAACTACTTAGAGCAGTTCATTAAAAAATAAATAAAAATCTTACTTTTTCAGGTAAACGTTGATATCTGTTTTCATCCAATCATGCTTTTTCCTACAGAAATAACATTCTGAACTGACAAGAACTTCACAAAAAAGCAGTTTGGGGTTACATTGAAGAGCTTCATGTATAGACTGTTGAACTAAACATCATTTGTAAGGAAGTACAGATTCTCTGAAACATGTATGATAACCTACTCTTAATTGCAAAGCTTCACATATGTATAGCGTTGTCGACTCCTATAATTATATTGATAAATACTTAATATGACACAAGGCCCGTTTTTCTTCCTGCAAGGCTTTCTTTAACATTGTTGGCATTGAAGTTGCTCCCTCAAATTTGGTTTCTACTAGAAAAAGGGAACAAAGCCTTCAAAAAGCAGAAGCTAAAGTTTCAAAAAGTTAAAAAAAAATCCCAAATTTGGTATTTTAAATAGATTCAAAATGAAGTATTTATTAATGTTATGTTAGACTGGTTGGATTAGACAGTCCTGATGTACCAGTTGACTCCATTGGATATATTCATAGAAAACATGTTATAGTCTATTGTTAATTACTGAGCAGCTATGTACAAAGTCTTCAAACATTTAAAACAAAGCCTGAAAAAGTACCAGACTGTACTTAATAGTTATTATAATTGACTAATTTAACTGATATCAGTTATTTTGTAGAGAAAGATTTTCTGCATTTTATTTAACTTCATAAATTTGATTTATTTACGATTTATGTCCTTTTGCAGAATTTATAAAAACCCGAAATTAAAAGAAGAGGAATAAGGCAGTTTTTATAGAAAGATAAAGGGAAGACACAATAATTTTTAGGTTAGCTATAGACACAGAGTTAGGGATGCATAAAAACAATCTTATTAAATTGGAAAAAAATGCTAAATGCTTTTAAAAAGTTATTCTGTGGAAGAAAAGGTGCCTTTACACTCTTTAAATCAGATATGTATATTACAGAAGCATTTTCAGAACTGTAGATTTCATACAATACCAGATCTACTAACTCTTCAGAAGCACTGTATAGTTATATAAGACTTGCCTTTTACCCCAGCCTCATCCTTTCTGGTAACAGCCAGCGGCTTGACATTTTGTAGATATCCTAGCATACAGAAAACATAGAATTAGCTTGCACGTGTTTTTTTTCCTTCCCTTTATGTAACATTTATTTAAAAATAAATATTAAAAGCCTATCAACTAATGATAACTCTAGCAACTCTGATATGTTATGGAGCTCCACAGAAATATTTGTGATCATCATATCTCTAGACAATTGTTATCTTGCTATTTTAAGTAGGAAACAAGTGGCTGTCTGCCCATATGGGTGAAGTAATTCATCTAAATTCTGCTTTAGAACAACAAGCTCTGATTTTTCAAGACAGTAGTAGTACACTATT